TCCTATTCGACTAAAACTTGATCAATCTTGATTAGCATATATGCATTCTGTGTAGATTGCCTCGATGTAACCATTGTGGCACAAATTCATAAAAAAACAAATGGAACATGGAGAATAATAGAATCAAAAGCGAATGTTTCATCTTACTTGGGACACGCCAGCTGGGTTTATGTGCAATCCGAAGTTGACTTGAACCCAGTAATGCTCGCTTCAAATGCCATCGCCTTATTTACTATGCTATTAAGTTCAGATATCTACTAACGTGTGCTACGGGTATGAGTTATAATTCAATCTGAAACAATTTATATTATCCTATTGTTTTATTCTTTAAGTTGATTTTATTTTCCATAAATAACTGACTAAAATTAATCATTCTAGTTTGTTTGAATAGTTAATTTTACTAATGCATATATTTAATGATCTTGAATGAATTATCTTAGCTTGTGTCAAATCAATTGAATAAATTTATGTTATTAGAAATTTACATTTTCGGTACTTATTTATATTTCTCACAATTACCGGAATATTCAACTACCAATATAAACTAAAGCTTTATTACAATTTTGTTCGATTGGATTAGAGGAATTAATAATTGTATAGATGATATATTTCATTTAACATACGTAATTTCCCGTACCTTTAATACAAATAAATTGACACGACTGTTTATCTGTAATTATATATGTTACAATAAAACATGTGAACTTTAAAAAAAATGATTTGTAAGTTATTAAGAGAAAAGGATTTTTTTCACACAAACACCTTAAATTGTACCTGTATAAAAGTATGATCAATGACCAATCCAGAATATGGTGAGACTGTAATTCATGGATGACCTTTGAGAAACGCTGAAGTGACCTTGAAAATGTCCATCTACTTACTAGGGTTATAAATTAGTGAGAGGAACTAGGATCGTTAGGGATAAAAATTATGTTCAGATTTTTCATCAAGGACTGACTTTAGTTATAATGCCGAAATGGCATTTAGCCAAACCGAGATCAATAAGCAAGAATCCGTAGGGATCCATCGTGCACATACCAAATCGTAACAATATGGATCATCGTTAAACAATCATTTGGATGGAATTAGTCATTATAGAACAACGTCTTTGACAGTGTGAATAGGAGAACCTTATGAAACCTTCATCAACACTATGGTATTCATGAGAGAATCTTCAACATAATGCAGAATTCATACGATGGATTACACTGCAACGTCGTGAATGGTGAACAAATGACACTCATTCCAAGTAAGGACCACAGTCAGACAAGACTATCTACTCTCCCACGGAATACAGTAGACAGCTTGGATGCAGCTAGATGATTTTCATTTCGTAGATGATCTAGTCCCTCTATCCAATACACATCAACAAATGCACATCAAGACAACCAGTGCAGCAGCAGCAGCCTCTGTATCGATAGGCCTCAACATACACAAAGGAAGAAGCATGAACCTCAAATACGACACAGAGAACGCCAACACAATCACACTTGATGGAGAAACTATGGAAGAGGTGGAATCTTCCACATACCTGGTCAGCATCATCCATCGAAAAGGAGGATTTGATGCAGATGTGAATGCAGTGATTGGCAAAACAAGGTCAGCATTGCTACAATTGAAGAACATATGGAACTCGAAACAACTGTCTGCAAGCCAACATCAATGCCAGAATCTTCAATGCGAACGTGAAGACAGCTAGTTATATTGTAAGGGTCTGAAACTTGGAAAAGTATTACAGTAGTCTTCATCAAAGGGGTACAACTAATTATAAACAATTGTCTATCTAAAATACCCAATGTTCGTTTACTGGATACAATTAGCAACATCAAATTCTGGTTATAGATAGAGAGGTGCCAATTTACAGCTTTTAATCACAAGTTTTCGTATATTTGATCTACTGCCCATCATTTAAGTATCAAGGTAGTTCCAACCTAATGCTGCTGATACCACGGAAAATTAATGATTCCAAAGTTATATAATCAATTCTGATCATTAAAATATGATAGACATTTGTATGTCGGGTGGGTTGTCCTCTAAGCCAGAAGATTGAATTGAAAAGTTTTCACCTCAACCTTCATACATTAGTATTCTTCTTCTGCATTACGTGATCTGAATACTTAAGCACTTGTTCAACAAGTTCTTATAGCAATGTTACTAAAATTTCCAGGAGTAATGAATGAATCGGATGTCCGACTTTTCATCGCGTCAGGTATTATGCTGCCATTACACTTGTTCTTCGTCTTTTAGATAGATGGGCATCTATCCAGTTTACCACTTAATAATTCTCCTATAACTATTTTCATCATTCTACCAATCTTCATTAACATGATGTCAGTATGTAAAGCGGTTATGTATATTTATTACATTTGTTTCTAGCCTGTAAACAGTTAACAAATATCCACGAGTTGAACGTATTTCACTTCATCCTAATAAGCTTGTTGTTTGTACCTTATTAATATTTTTCAGTGGGAAATATTGTATGAAATAATCATAATGTATTCAATATAGACTTATCTATTGTTTTATAACACTATTTGACAAGTGTATAAGTTATTGAAAACGTCATCTGACCTTATATTTCAAATAAAAATTTAAGGTGTTGATTTCAGTCCTATATGTGGTGATGAACCTAATTAACCAGAGAATTTTCTGCCGTCGAATAGTGATAAACATTTCTTCCGTAACAACAATTATTTGTTAATTTTTTCTCCACAAATAATTTCTTTAGAAATAAAAATCATTTACTAAGGCTTTGCTTCGATAGTAAACTATTCGAATAAGAATGGAAGATATTACAATGCTGATATTATTTAGATAAATATGTTGAAATCAAATCTTCAATAGTATAAATGAACTTTATGGAAATATTTTTCCGATTTCAAACATTTGAAATAAATTACACGCCAATTTTCAACTATAAAGAAAATGGTCAATTTACAATAATCATGATATTGTGGACCAATCGGAAATTCCCCATATCTGTCTAAAATGTTAATTGTCTTTAAATAAAATATCATTGATGCAAGCAATTTCATCACTGAACTAGACATGTTTTTTTATCTCATTAAATGTTTAATGAATGAACAAAGTTCTACTTAATGAGTAGTACTACCCAAAAGAAAGCATTTTGAAATTTGAAGATTAAAAACTCTATGTATTTGATTATAATATATTTTTAGGCCTCAATAGGAACGTGGTACTTATTAATTATTAGAAATCTAATAGTTAAATTCATGGGTCAATTGAAGCTAGACCACCATGGAAAACCTAATAGGACTGGACGGCCGTTTGGTCCACAAAACTCCTCTTCTCTAATTATCAGGAAGTTTTAGATTTCTTTAACTATAGTTTTTGAATAAAAATACAAAATCATACTTTTACTTGAAATTTTTGAAAAATAAGATATATTGTTTGTAATTTTTCCTAAGAAAAATATTATATAAACTATTGGGAGAAAAACATTAAATCTTTATTGTTTTAATATGTTATTATTAAACAGAATGAATCCATAAATCATATGATTTTATCATTATGCAATCGAAATAGAAAAGATCGATAAGTAATAGAATTGAAATGTAATACTACAGAAACCAATAAATATAAAAATCAATATATATTCCCACTATGTCATTCTCATTTTAGAATATCTATGAAGATACTAAAGTGTAAAGTATGAATGACATTATTTTTAGAAAAACAAGAGTTTAAGTTAATGGCTTTTGTTAAAGCAACATCTTATATTACCTTATTGTTTACTTATTTATTACCAGTGATATAAAACGTATTATGTTCCAACTTTTGTTCTCAACATTTTTGATAGACAGAAGGATATATGAACGTATGGGTCAGTTTATTATGGTTAACAAATTCTGAACGTTAATAGTGTGGTAAAGGACGTATCTAACGTCATTACTCAGATTTGTTGCACGAAACCTTCCATTGATTGGTTCTCAAAATCCACTTATCCAGGTTCAAAATATTAGACTTACAAACTTGATTTTGACCAATAATTCTAATTTGGTACATTATAAGATTATTCACTTTTATATGATTGTTGAATGTTAGATTAATAAACCCTAGTTAGGTACAATCAATCCACTGACTGGAAAACAAATATTTGGTTTATTAAACATTCGTCACATAATAAGCTGACTCATGATTACTTAGTTATATTTCTTACAAATATGTCTATGCTTGAACAAAGGTAATAAAACGTGATAACTGACTGAGTTTATTGTTCATGCGAGAACATTTAAACGGAAAAAAATTAACATTTTCTTAGTAGACAAAAGTCTGTCTAAGAATTCGACTGTTTCATAAATTTATTAAAAAAATTTACCACCATTTAACTTACAAAATAACTAAAAACTACTAAATGATCAGCTTATCGTTTGTATACTGTAAGCATCAGACTAATAAGTTCGTATTATTATCAATGGATTTATTTATTTTACAAAAACATTTTCAGTACCCCTGGACAATGCATAAGAGTTTACAATGATTCGCTTGTTATCTATTGAGGAAACGTTTTATCACCTTGTATGTTAGGTTAAGAGAAATTGTCATCACCGTAGCTGCTTAGATATCATTCCATCACTCCAGAATAATTTCTATGGAAGAAGGAACCAATTATAAACCATTTTAATATAGTTCAGTTGTTGTAGGATACTAACACATGCATTTTTTAAACACACATTGTATATCAGTTTTGCAAACAGATCAGTCAATAAACCATATTGTTCATTGTAAAGTGAATTAAATTTGAAATATGGATTCAGCAAAATATATTGAATAGTTAGTTCTCGACGATTACTTCGAAGATTGGAAGCAGACATAAAAAAGATCAATAACAACTAAAAAAGACTGGGATGGATAGCCCAGAACAGAGTTGGATACAGAATGCTGGTGAGCGACCTATGCTTCTCAATTAAGGGGTAACAGCCGTAAGTAAGTAAGTATGTTAGAAAACAGGTGGTTATAATAAAGTTTATTCAACTTACCATCTTGACGCTGAGCACACCATGCTTTATTACTTAGATAATGACCATATTCTGGTGTGCAAGAACGTTGCGATCGTTTTCCACGAGAACTTGAAGCAGCGAATCTTGCATAAGGAGGTATACCAATAAGTTGTTTACATGCTTAAGTAACAAAGTATAAACAATGAACATAAAGATTCAAATGGATTTCTATCGCGCATATTTTAAGGAATATTTAATTAATATTTCATTTGAAATATTTGTTTAATAATCTGATTTTACACAATTTTTTAAAATTAGAATGATAAACCCATTACAAGGTTTTTAGAAAACTTCCTTTTATGGATGGGGATGACTAACACTAGGCAATGTATAAATGGTGTTCATGTTCTCACATTTTGAGATGGCAGATCTATTGTCAGATATACTGTAATGACTATAAGTAATAATTCCTGAATGTTATTAAGCATAAAATTTGAGAATAAAATCTCTTTCTTTTCGTCAAGAATTTCGATTATTCATCATGTTAGCTTAGAAATTGCAGTTAGTTACAAAAGAATTTTAGAAGTAAGCTTACATCACCAAAACTATTGTTTTGACTACAACCACGAAAACTAATCACCATTGTTCTAGCAAAATTGAATTATGGAAAAATTCATAATCGACTTAATGCAATTAAATAAGGATGAAGAACAAATTACTATTTTAATAGTATGGCTAACATGATTTATTTTTTGCATCATGCAACTATACTTTTTATTAGTTAGTGATGTCATATAGTGGTTATTCAGCACGTGATTATTAGGATAATAACTAATTACTCAACATTGATGAATCGAAAATCCTAAAATATACCATACATGGTATTATGATTTGACAGAAAAACCAACTGAGAAAAAACAGGAAGTCATGTTTAAATGATGAGGAAAACATGTGTCAAAATATGCAAAAATATTATTATTTAGTTTACGGATAATTGAATGTATATATAGCAAAGTAATTGTCATAAGGTCTAATCTGTTAACATGGTAGTAATCAATAGATTTAGTAAAATACACTTTATAATGCCTTTAGGAGTGCCTTTGTTATTGGCGGTTTTTCTCTGCTTAGGAAAAGACAGTATTTTTGAAGTTCTACTTGACAGGCGTTTTCACTATGTATATAAAATGAATGATGAAAGAAAAAATTCACAGGTAAATGTTTATGTGATGTAAACGTTCTTCTTGATAATTATTAAACACTGTTCATTAGATCATGACATTTATATTTAAGACCAACTAAGAAGTTAAAGCTATCATAATGAATTTACATCAATACCCACAAACCTTACAATAGATTCTATGAATCAATGTCATATTAAAAATTCAGTCAACGAGGTTATGTAATAAATAATATTGTAACCGTCTGATTTTATTAACTTAACTTCCACCTTTTTATTTTATTAATAATTTCGTTTTAATTTTCTGATTTAGTGATTCTGTAATTTCTATTTATGCGTTTATTTGTGAATGTCAGTGTATAGTAATGAATTCGGCGATTACAACGAACCATTTATGAACAAAGTTTCCATAGTCAACTATATTTTATTTTGTTACACAACTTGTAGAGAGACTGAAAAGTATGATTGAAGGACTGAATAGCAATTAGTTGCTGATTTATTTAATCATGTAATAATAATAATAACCCGAATTATTCGCTTACATTGACAGCCGACTAGTTCAACTCGAAGACTAGGATGATTGTGCCATGTGTATGTATGAATTTTAACATATCTCGCTCGAATTGGTTCATCAAAATAATTATGTTTCACTGAGTAGGAGTCTGAATTTCCTTCGAAAATCTAGAAAAAATCATGTGAAATAGTCTCAGTTAATTAAGAGAGAAATGTTTGTTAGAGAGATAAAACACAAGCTTGAACTGGTACCACATAAAACAGTCAGTTAAAAACCCTAGGAAAAAATGCCTACCCAATTCTTTCAGATTTTCAGTAGTAGTCTAACTAAGATCAAAGTCTGATGTAAACTATGAAAATTCTGGATGGATAACAAAATAGAAGTAAAATATTTTTGCAAGCATCATTAACTCTACCTGAAAATATTTTTGTATAAATCTCTGATTACAGAGTGTTTCATGTATCGTAGAACGTAGAACTTTAATTTGGTTATTAAAATCTCTTCTTTCTGAACAGGAACTATGAGATTTATTTTAGGCAACCTAATAGAGTTTTCAATCCAGATCCATTTTGTTTTGATTCATATTCGCCTACATTTCATTAGAGTTATGAGAAGTGATGAAATTTATCATACGGCGAATTGAATTCTAAAACTAAAATGTAAACATGGACTTAATTATTAAATTACTATGATATCCACAAAGCCTCTTTCTGATAAAATTTATTCATCAGATCACAAGGAAAGGTGACGGAAAATAAGTAGAAATAGTGTGAACGAAAATTAGCACACAACATGTGAACATCAGGTTTATTTCAATAATCTTCATAAAGTATGTAGAATGATTACAACTTCAGTGTTTGCACACATACTAAAGTAACCATTAGATATTTTAGATATCAAAGCGTTGTTTCATTTTATTTATTATTGGTGAAAGATGTGAATTATGTTTAAAATATGTTCGCTAAATAACCGATCACCCAGGAGTACACTAGATTACAAGTAATGATTAGCTTTCAAGTTGTCGTTCTATAACACTTCCTGAAAATAAATTGTCTCTAAAAAAATGAATTCATCATGAAATTCGATATTCATGAGATTCTGGGAAATGTTTCAATATAACCAAAGTGTAAACAATGACCATGTTGAATATAGCACAAATAAAAATGCATAATTATGTTGATTGACTGTTCTGAATAAATAACCTGGTCAGTTAGATTTTCGTTCGCAGATTGAAGAAAATGAGCATTGAATTCAAAATTTTCTGGAGTCACATTGATCTGGCTTATTTTTTTCCACCTCTATGTTTATTAATAAAACTTCTGGACTGTTGCTATCCAAAAATCTGTTATTTTATATTTCTATTCACAATTATACTCTTGATTAAAATGTAAATAACGTTTTACATTTGTCATTCCAATTTTTGGGTTTTAAAAAATTTCCATATAAAAACCTATAGAAAAATCTTATTAAATTACAAATCTCCATGATAGATAGGCATTCTCGTGAAAGAAGATGAAAAAGAGAAAAACCAAGAAACACCCTGCGTCGGAATTCGAAGCTAATATCGAAGGAAGAAATATCAACTGGAAACATCTGGAAAAGATTGATCAGGACAGAGTTCTATGGAGAATGCTGGTGTGAGGCCTATGATCTTCCACAAGGAATAACAGATGTAAGTACAGAGGTAATTAAACGGAAATACACTAATACTGTATGCTTATATTTCGTTACACCTCAGTGATGATGAAATGCTTGCTACTATGGTGTAATTTTGAAATTAATTTGTTTGCCAACGTTTTAAAAATTACATATTACTCCACAAATTGTAATTTGATACTTCTAACTTCTAAAACATGATTAGCCGTAAGATTTTAGTTTTATTTTGCTAGTTAAGCAGAAAAGATCAGCCCAAGCTCTATGTAAAGCTTTTAGATGGAATTGAACTAATGATGTATACTCCAATATGTAAGATCTAAAAGAACTCAAAGGAGACGAGAAGATACCTACTTTCAAATCCACCTTAATATGTATGCATTTAGAGAAAAAATTAATTGGTAAATTTCATTTGCTGATAATACATGATTACTTTTGTTTCCTCACAATTGTAGTTTTCATTTCTAATTACAAATATGTTTAGGGTGAAAATAAAATATAGTAATTACTATATATATATATCTTCATATTTTAATACATATAATACTACACTTGTGTACTACAGCAAAGTGATCGTTGCAGTTTTAGTCACAAGACGAAAAATAGACATACACAAGTAAAATCTTTTTATTTGATGCTTATTATCATTGGCTTTATTTAATATTATATTTTTGGGACAATATAGAATTCTCAGCACAAATTGTTTCAACAAGTTTCCGTTTGTTACTTCTTGGTCGATCCTGACGATAATATTGAGTGATCGCCAGTTAGAAGTTAGTAGTCCAGTCAATCGACATCAAAATAATGTAAAGATGTTTCGCTGCATATTGCTGGAAACCACGATATCCCAGATTGGGCTTTTTGTAACTTTTACAACGACAGGCTGTAAACTTTTCAGAAACGTACCTGAGTAAGTTATGAGATCAATGGCATAATGTTGTGTTAAAGCAGACATGAAAACAGATAACTTGTTGAAATATTCACATAGCAGGAACAAGTAGCCAAGATATTCAAGCAGGCCTCCAGTTTAGATGTAGTCAATGAACGTAATTAGCATAATAGGTTATTGATACATTGACAGAAATTAAACACTTGAATAACTGAAAAAGATATTCTATTTGTGCTCAAAACAAAAAAATAGATAATTTTTGGTACAGGCTTTTTTCACATTATTTTGTGACTTTGTCGACTGAGGATAAAAGTTAACTGATTAAAATTTAAAAGAAGTAACTAACATTGATGTTATCGTTATTAAGAAGTCATAATATTCCTACTTAACTGTTGTGGACGTTAGATCCCCAGAACTTACTTTGAAAAAGAACCAAATTTTGTGATTTTATTTAGAAAATTTGAGTTTCTTTGTTTTCGCGCCAAAAGCACTCTTGTCAACATGTCGTATTTCCCACTTGGGAAATATCTTAAATCAGTCTTTTAGTATGCTATTTGGTAACTCTCCCCAAGGACGGTTTCGCGCTGTATATATATGTATATATACGTTTTGATTTGTTTCTGTTGTTATCACTCGCTTCTGGCTGTTTGCAGAATATACTTCCCCGTTCCAAGCGAGGCTGGGACGCGTCGGAATATCTAGCTTATTGGTCTTTAGTCACCGAGTCTTTGTTCTCGTTTGCAGATTAAATGAACTCGTGATAGTTTCGAGCCTAACAGTATTTTGTCAAGTTTTTTAACCATTCTATCTAATGAATTTAGTATGAATGAGCGAAACCTTCACAAATAGTTGACTACAAATGATCTCAGTAGTTTAATCCTAACAAAAATTAATTGTTAGACTGGATTTATGATAAAACCTGATAAATGTCTACGTTTTTAATCGATTAATATAAGTTGGCATTAAAAACATGGCACTATAATACTGTATTTTCTTATTGTTCCAAATTTATTTATTTGACTCTCATATCCCCACATATATAGATGACCAGATTTAAAATAGATATTTTCATTTGTGTAATGTTATTTTTATATTTTTATTTAGACATACAAACGAAAACTCAATGTATTGTAATAGTAGATATTAGAATAGTCTAATCTATCACATCTACAGACAATAATTCCAATGGTAATTAACTATGGAGGAGAACGAAAAAATTTCAAAAAAGTCAACTTAGTTGTAATAAAGAATCAACATACAAACAAAAAGAAGTCATAAACCAAAATACAAAAAAAGAAAACAAGCTATTTAACACAAAAATACAACCTTAATTAATTTTCTATATATATATATATATATATATATATATATATATATATATATATGATCTGCAACACTTTGTTTAAATATAGGACAGTGTTATACTACGTCATTTAAAATATAACGAGAAACATTTGAGATATAACTAATTATTCCAGATGTATGTTTATGTATAAATTTAAGTGTTATTTTGACGATTGATTTCAGTAAAACATATGTTTCAGTAAAAATCTATAATAATGACTTGTTAGAAAATTATTATTTTCTCGTCTAATACTTTATTCTCATTTCAATAATAGTAGTAACAATAATATCTATTTAAACAATAAAATGATTTCATTGTACAGTGTTATGTTATTCTAAATGATTAAATGCTTTCTTTGCAAAATACTTCATAACTATTGTATAGCTAGCTGAAATGGACATTTATAAAAGAATTGGCTGAAGAAAAACATAAATTACTATAACAAAAAAAACATGGCGCCGAATGATATTACCTATGGTTGTTGAAAATTCTTGTAAAACCTATTTGATTCTATTTAATAAATATTTATTACATGGTAACGATTAAACTACAAGTAGATAAATATTTATTCTGTTTTCTATGGTGTAAGAGTCATTCTACAATGTTTTCCTTACTTAAATAAGGTATGAATAACACGATAATTAGAATTCAATAAGTTTCATAATTTTATATTAGCTACGTGTATGCTTATTAAAATGAATAGTATACACTAAGTGAGCTAAAAAAATAACATCATGTTACATAATTGATACTGGTTACCCTGATAATCACTATCAGTGATACTGTTTATAAAACCGTTTATAAGGAAAATGTTTTAAACAAAGAAAGAACGGCGTAAAACGGTTAGAATCTTAAAATGAAAAATTAGAAACACAGGTTGAGCTACGACTGAAAAAAACGTCAAAATTTTAGTATAGATCTTACAAATGAATAGAAAATGTATGCCTCAGAATGGACATCTGTTACCTTACTTTTCATCGCCTTATCTCTCAACGTGATGTTTAATATAATTTAATGGGTAAAAGTGAACAAAAAAAGATCCCTGAATGCTACTTATCTCATAATGTAATAGCGTAGAGAATTATCTTTAAACATAGTTACTCTGATGGTCAAAGTCCTGATAATCACCTTAACTTTATATAAAAAAATTATTGATAACAGTTTTCATTAAGAATATATTGTTCTATCTTAAGCATAATGTTAGCTCATAGTTGACGCAAATGTATTTTAAGATCTCCGTGAATAAATAAATTTATATCATGAGGTAAGTACTTGATCCCACTAGTATTAATTTTAAAAAATTTTCAGTCATCAAGTGTAGCGTGTTTATCTGATCAATTTACAAGGTTGTATTTTCACTAATAAATACATTTCTGAGTGAGTATTCAAGGAAAGATCATGTTAGATTATTATACATCATCAGGACAAAAACATTACTTAAAATATATATAAGAAAAACTGATAAGTAACTTACTTTTTGATTGGCATATTGGTCAGTGACAAACTTCCAGTGCATAGCATCATCACTGTAGGATACCATAAATGAAGTTACCCATTCTGAACCATCACCTCGACCTTGAGTCATGATGCCTGTTACCTTTAAAATTTAATGTATAACAAATGGAAGTTATTTTATCAGTTCCTCTGTCTTTTGGGAAAAACGATGTTAAATGATAAATTGGTAGATCAGCCATGGCGTCGAAAATATAGTTTGAAAATTACTATCATAAGTAAAAGCAAACTAATAAATTTGTAATTTGTAGTTGAAAGGATTGTATCAGTTTGACTTACATGTTTTCATTTGTATTATCCAGTATACTGAAAATAAACGTTACTTAGTAAAGTTATGTTAAACCAAGTTTTATTAGTTTATATTAGCATTCATTATTTCGAGACAATGTTTTTTACCGGAGTTACTAACACTAGACGTTTATTTCACTTTACGATTAAATGTTAGTTTAGAAAAAAATATTTTAGATTCGGGTTTAGAATTTACAACAGACTTCTTCATATTTCTTGTCAATGAACTTGAATAAGGTACCTTACCATTATTGTAAAATATTATAAGTTAGTTACTTATTATGATTTCCGAACAAAACTAGTGATTTTGATGTAATATCCTGGAATTAATCTGGACTTGGTTTCGTGATTTAGCCTTACACAGAATTTAATGGCAAATTGATAAAATAAAAATTTCCCGATTATTCTCTAATGACAGTTATATTAACAGGAAAACCAATGAATCTACTTCACAACAAAGCATAGTTTATATTTTTGTACACTGATTCTATAAAGCCATAACAACTGAAATTCAGCTGCTAATCTCTTAAAGAGTTAGTGTGAAATTCATCCATCCATTTGGCTAAATAGAGTCTTGGCATTTTAGATAATGCTAATTCGTAATGAAACTTTAAATCTAGTCCCTAACCCTAATCATTTACTGTTAAACATAATTCTAATTCTTCTTACTGCTTTATAACCGTCATTTAGTTCTAGTTAATTGATGGACATTCTAATGTTCACTTTAGCGTCGCTCAAAGGTCATCCACAAATTATAATTTCATTGATTGATGTTTTCGTATCATCTTTTTATTAGTCCTGAAATGAAAACATACGTATGCATTGTTTCAAAGTCAACAGATACTAGTCAAATCAAATATATATGTGGATAAATTTGGATATCAATCTATGTTTATGTTAGATGAAGTATAATGATCTATAAAATAACTGCCTGATTCGTTGAAGAGTTAATTAAACCTTTTAAGTTAGTTAAGTAACCCTAATTGTACTTTTATCAATAGGAATTCAAACTACGAATGCCATTAATAGATCCTATATGACACAATATTATTTTATATTCATGATAACAAAACAATACGTTTGAATTGTCTGCTGTTTTATGAATAGCGATTTGTTTCTTATCCACTACGTTTTCTGTAATTACACTACAACATTGTTAACTATCCATTTTCCCGTTATACTTTATTTCGTTTATATAAGTTAACCACACATCTGATAATTATGTTGTTTTATTTAATATTCTAAATATAGCAAATTTTGCACATTTTTCAATGGAATAATAATAATATATATTTCAAATATAAGTAGGCGCCCAAACAGCTGACAAATAACGAATGTAACCTTGATAACATTACATCATTTGTTGTATTAATTTCCTGCACATTAAAAAATGAATGTTTGTTAAAACTGAGCACAAACTTGTTAGGAAGTAAATATTTAATGGATCGCATTTTTGTTTATAATAGGTAAATCCAGTTTGCCGAGTTTTTGAAAAACACTTTAACCTTATTAACTACCGTATAAATCAAACCACTTTGTGTATTGTTCACATAGATGCATCTATAGTTTCAGAGAAGCAACTTCAAGTTACTCTTGACTAATAAAGTTAATATTTTGTATACTCCAATCTTTCAGAAAAAGAGTACATATTTATGATTATTTAATAGTGCCTTTTAGTTAACAACTAAGCTAACTGACTGATGTATTAACTTATATTCCAATGTCTTTATATGTAATTAGTAACAAAATAAAACTTGAGTGTGTATATCTAGTCATTATTCGCTTCAACTTCTTTTAACAAAGGTAATATCATTAAAATTGTTTTGATCTTAATTAAAAATATAAGTATAACCTATAAATCAAGATGAATTTATGTTATTTAGGCAATATACGTGGCTTTGTAATAAATTCTAATAAATACATAATAGATTACAGAGGTCAGATGAACCTACTTGACATTAGTGAACTTTTAGGTTTCAGAAGAAAATTTTAGCGAAGTGAGATTATTTCCAGTCTTATTTAGAACATCAATTAGAAACAAATTACGTATCGGGCAGAATTAGTTTGAGACCTCTTAATATTGTGAACCTTACTACACATTAAAAGGTTTTCATTGTAAAATCGTAACTTACGTATCTTACTCAATTCAAACACTTTGATAGTGATCAAACAATGATAATACCTTCAATTAAACGAATATTTTGGTTAAAAATAACATATATTAAAAGTTTTGCTCAGGTTATAATTTTAAGTACAAACGCAAATTCTTGTTAATCAGATAAAAACAAAATAATAATAAATAATAACATATTTTTCATATCGAAATGAATTAAAACTGTATTGTTGGAGTTTCTAGATCAAACATAAGCTTGCCTTGTAAAGAATGTATAATTTCTTCGAATTAGTAGTATAATAGTATGTATAGTATATAGTAGTATGATAGATGAACTACAAACATGATATATAAGAACAGATTTGACCATATTGATACATAATTCAAGTTTAAGGCAACTCTATGAGTGACATCTTTATGCATATATATGCATGTGAAGAGCTGTGTAGAAGTTTGATGTTTTTAATATGAATAAGTAACTTTATTTAACTTGATTCAAAATAAATTGTTTTATCAAAAAAACATTATACAAGTTGACTGGAAGAAAAAAATATTAAGTTATAGCAATGTATGTTCTTGAACTACTCAACTTTTTTTATAGTTAAAGTATCAAGCTATGTTGATTCAATGAATTGAATATAATCGTCTTTTTTTAAAGTATACACTATGGTAAAAATTCATTCGGATATATGTCTAATATTATCGTTGTATTCTTTAAAACCTTAGTTTCTTTGTTATGAATTTAATTATTGATAGGCTTACCAATTTATGCCTACTATACTTATTGTTTAAATAATAAAACATTAATCGTTATTTAGTCAGTTAACTGTTAAACTGTGATAATTTCAAATTAAATGCATTATACTGTCGGCTTTTATAAAATTGACTTTACATGATATATGTGATACATTTATACAATAGTAAAAGACATTAATTTTTTTTCAAAAATTTTTCAAAATATCTTTATGAAGCAACTAAATGAATAGTAACTTTTATTTTATTAATAATAAATAAAATATTAGACATGTATTATCCATTTCACTGATCAATAAAAAAACATTTTATTACTATGCATGAATGAACTTTTAGTCAATCAACAAAATACTGTAATAGTATATGTTGCCAAGATAAAAGTTATCTAATATTATATATATTGTGTTATATTTTTTTCTCTTTTTCAGTAATATAAAATGATTTGCCATATTTTAAAATACATGAAGAATTAATCTTATCTAAGTTTTCCTTTTCCTTTTTTTTTGTTTTAAAACTACATTAACAAAATTGTTTCTAAAGTAATAACATCTAGAGCAATTAACATTTTAACATGAAATGATTAAAAATGAAAGTTACTATTAATAGTCGTGAAAAAAATAGTAATAATAAACGAGTAAAAATCTGATCACATATGTCGTTTGTGAAAAATGAAAAAAACACAACAGTAACAACTGAGGAAACTATTCAAATAATGATCTTCAATTATAAAGATCCATAAATGAAATCAAGTTACTATGATAGTTTTTTTGTAATACAGAAATATCTTTAATAAAAGGTTCATTTTTGTTGTTGCTTAAAATTCAATTGACGTTTATTAAATAAGAGTGAGGTTTAATTAATGACTGTAGAGTAAATTTATATTCTTGAATGTAAATTAAAAATGAATAAAAAATAGGTTTCATATTGTTTAAATGTAGAATAGTTACGATAGTAAGAATAGTTTTTTTTTCGTTCATTATTTAATTCATAACCGGTAGAATAGTAAAACGATGTTTCAGTTAATCGATTTGCACTTTGTGAAATAAAAAACAAAACGAGGAGAAAACTTTAGAAAAAAAAGAAAGTGAGATAAAATAAGTCATAAAAATAAGTTTTTAACTTGATATCTTCTTATGTATAATAATTATGTCGTTTCTTTGTTGTAGTGAATGATACTACATTAGTTGATTTCCTTTCTGTATATGATAGGATTATAAAACTATATTAGGAATATTTAAAGAACTTGAGCAGATAATTATGGGGATTTTTCTGTAAAATTTAACACCATTTAGTAGTAGTATTAGTTATTTCCCCTGTAATTTCCCGTTTGTTTTCTTTTAAAAACACTATTTCTCAAATATTTGGTACATTTCATTAAAACTATAATTCAGAGACAGTTACTGTTAACTATTGTCTACTATACTTTTGATTATTCAAATATATGTGAAGATGGAACATTCTCAGACCATACCTGGCACACAGTCCAGGTTAAATATAAAACGTATGTATAAAATAATATTTCAAAATAATTATGTTCATGATTATACATACAGAACTACCAGATTTCTAGAAATATTTCTTGAATATTGCCTGTAGTAAAAAATAAAAAATGAAGGCCTCCGTCTTAATATTCATTGTTGAATAAATATGAGATACTAAGAAATAGGAAATTATTATGAAGGTGCATAGTACAATTGTACAGTTTAATGGTTTGTACTATACTTGATAATAAATTTAAGTTTTATGCATAAAAATCTTCAAATTATGATAGTATACAGTAGTATTTAACTTTAGTTTGATAAATTATAATCGAACTATTGAAAGAGCTAGTAGGTATGATAGGAGTAGGAGTTTGATGACCAAACCATTAATACAGGCGGTTTTTACAACCTGTTCTGTTTTCCGGTGATCGTGTCGTCACATTATCATGGAAAATCGTTGAACAAATGACTTACACAGTGTTAACATTTCTCCTTGTAAAAATAATTTTTCGATTCAAGTTGTGTGATTTATTGAGATTTGTTCGTTAATGAATGATGTCGGCTGAAGAATAATCGATATTAAACATTACTTGAAAAGTCACTTTGTCCTTGTTTTAAACCTTTTAGTTGTGCATATCGTAGACTGCTGATTTGTATACAGACCATAAATTATCGTTTTATTGTCTATTTCTGTACTTTTAGAGTACTGGATCAAAGTCGATGGGGGATGTTATCTACCATTACCGAATGCCTAAGCTGACTACGCTGACTGCAAAGATCATAACGTCTTATCAAAGATCTGAATAAATGGTTTGATATCTGTTAGTCGGACAGTGGAATTCAGAGATCGTTAAAACGTTAATTATAACTGAAGTGACGACAGAAGTTTATAGATAAAGTGAAGTTATTTTATTTTAAAATTAAAATCATATCGGAATAGAAATCGATTTTAAGAGCTCCAGATATATTAATGCACACTTTCCATGAATAAGAAAAGACAGTTCCAAACTCTAAAACAGAGTTGCTTCTTAGTGAGTAGACAATCTAATGGACAAATTGTATAAAAGCAGTCGAAGGGTGTTCAAAACTATATAGGACCGAATAATTGTTTCATTCAAGTAAAGTAATACTCAAAAGATCAATTCCTGTATCCTAAGATAACACCTCTATGTATTAGTAGTTTTGTAAAATTAAAAATGTGAACCAAATAACTAAGTTTAGAGTTAATTTTAAGATAGTAACCCACTGGTTGCTTGTCTTGAATGCATACTTATCGACAAGTGATTTATTTCCATGTTAAAATAAAAAATGTAATCAATGTGTTTTTTTTCATTTTAACAATGGATCATTGTTTGATATCACCAGTGACACAAACGAACATTCATCTTAAGTTAATTCTACAAGCCTTTTAGTCAAATAATTTAGTAACCTGACGTTTTTGTATACTTTGGGAAATTATTCATTTTTAATTGTATTACTCAGTGATACGAACGGCTTATCTAATAACCAATTGAAAATAATGTAAACAAAATCATCTGAAACTGATATTTAAATTAACTAACGTAACTAAAATAGTATGTTTTACTAAGTCCAATTTAGAATAGAAAAATTAGTTACAGTTATTCTGATGAATCACTAAAATCAAGTTAAGACATTTCGATTTACTATAGATTTAAATGTGATCATATTTTATTGATCATTAGTTACAAATAGAATTGCCACGCTAGACGAGTGGTATTTTAGTACATTATGAACTTCAAATATGAGCTTTGAAGATGTGAATCTGAATAGATCATCAGTGATTATTTGTAGAAAACATAATGATTTGGTAGATTTCATATTTAACATGTTTATTCATTGTAAATTAATTTATAAACAAATTAAAAAGTGTCTGTTTTGACGTTATGCTTCTATTCATATTACGATCGTTTATAAGTGAAAGGTATTATTTAAAATTTTGGAAACGTTAAAGTCAAGTTAAACCCAATCTGTGTCGAGTAGAGACAGGTATCTACCTCAGTAAAATGGAAGATGGTCGTGCAATTTCGTGGATTGATTGATGTTAGACACTAGCACCATTGGATGCCGGCTCAGTAGTTCAATAGGTTAAGCTTTCGCGCGTGAGACTGAAGGTCCTGCGTTTGAATCACGCGAGGGGTGGCATCGTGGATGCGCACATGTGAGGAGTCCCACAATAGGACGAAACGGCCGTCCAGTGCTTCCAGGTTTCCAACGGTGGTCTAACATCAATCGGTTCATAACCTCAATCAAAATTGTAATAATCTCCACAACCCCTACACTGTTAATCATTTTCTATAATATAGAAAAATGAACATCATTCATATAATAATATTACAGTAAGTTTACCCTACTAAGTTTTTCAGTAAACTTTCCACAATTAAATAAATATAATTGCAACTAAATGAATACTAAAATTGTGTTAATTTAATCCTTTAACATCACTAACATCATGATGTTGTTCTAATTTAATACAACGTAACGAAGAATTGATATTAATCCAACATATCTACTAGATGTCTTTATTTACTTTTGAAGTTTCACTTCGTTTTTCTAACTGAATGCAGGCATTAAGTTAGATATACCACATCTCAAGGTTTAAAGAAATATAGTAATGGACACAAACTAGCAAGGAATTTATAATTCCTACGATGATCAGAAATAATGCGTAGTCTTTTTTGTTGTTAAGATAATCAACTATCTACTTAATTAATTTTCTAATTAAAATTAAAGAAAATAATTAATTTACCTGAGACAAATTTTCGACATTCAAAAGTTATATACATATCCCTTACATAAAATATTCACTTACCAATGCTTGTACACCTAGATCAATTTGAAGCCATTCTGAAGAGGATTTAAATTTTGCACACCAAGCTAAACCATTTGTTCTAAATAAACGTGCATTTTTTTCTTCACATCCTTTCACCAAACTAGATGGATAAGTTGAAGATGAAGTAATCTGCCAATCAGCAATTGTACCTGATATCATACCTAGTGGATCATCATTTTCACATTCTTTGTTTAAAACTAAAAAAACAGAAGAATTAAATTAATTGTAACTTTTGAATATGCACATTAGTTGTAAGTAAAAACAGTCTAGTGAAATTATAATTAATTGATTTATAAATAAAATACACAGCTGTCAATATTCTTTAGCTGTTATATATACCATAGTTAGTTTAAATATTTAATTGGTCAGTAGTCTGAACTTAGACCGCTACCAGTTTTCTATCAGCATAAAATACAATTCTTTAATGTTAACCATAATTGAATATTTACGTTTATAAACACTAATTTAATAAGTATTGTAGTGAATGAACACTCATGTGGGAAGAATCTAATTTATTGTTTAAAACAAAATTACAGAGTCTTCATAAAATATGAAAACCGTATACTTCATTTACACATCAAACAATCGTCTCTCACAAACTTTATCGTTCCTTCATTCCTCTTGTTATTATAATTATTATCTGCTTACATTATGGTTCTCTTTAGTATGATCTTTTCAACCAAATGCTATCAGGCATTCCACTTCTGATTAGAGTTACATACTATTTATGTCTGCCAACATAAATAGCATACACCATAGTATAATTGTACTGGGATTCTCAGAATATCAAATATAAGTTCATTTTCAGTTTTATTAGCACTAAGTACAATAAGACAGCGTGTACAGAAAACTACAAAAAAGTCAATATGTATTTCATGATAAGTATAATGTAGAAAAACTATTCATTGTAAAAAATGAAGTAAATTACAATAGTTTGTCCCCGAAGAAATTGCTGGTATTTGTATGATTTCAAAATCAGAAGAAAACAATGACCAAAACGTCAAAAAAATCTAGTTTTTTATATAAATGTGAACGTTTAAATGCATACATAGTCTCAAAATTCTAAATGAAGGAAAAAAAACATTTTCTCAGCTTGTCAAAAATCCGATTGATACTATAACAGTTATAGTAGAATATTTTGAATGAAACTTTAAAAAATGAAAACACTCGGTTAATATTCAAATAATACCCCCCATTAAACTATCAAGTTTTACAACTCAAGGATAATTTGATTTTTGAATCTAGTGTTATGTAATTTTATAGATTACACATTGTTCAAAAATTTTTTATTTTTTATTTTGGACAAGTGAATCAGGCATAAATTGGTATTTTAAAATATGTATCGAAGGAAGTCACGGTATTTCCATACAATACAAAATATTTTATACTGTGAAATATAAATGATAAATAGCTAGATATTGTCAAGTTTGCGATTACCATGGAAATCCTTTTAAATAAATGACTGGTATTCACTGTTTCACCGTGATTATACTTAGACTTCTAACGTTTAAGGTAGCAAACCATGTCGGACATATACAAATCACATGTAATTTACATGAAAAGAAAATTAACAACGAAAGTAGAAAATTAGTCGACTTCACTGAAATTGAATACTGATACCATAGTAGAGAATAGAAAACTTGGTTCTCGAATCTGAAAAATAACGATTGAACAGTCATCATATTTAAGAACAAGTCTTGGACAATTTCAAGCTTTCTGTTTTGCATTCTTTCACATTTATGACTGTTTGAAAGAATTCAATTTAGTCACATTCTTCTTATTACACATCATATTCATACAAATTATAAAACTGAATATTTTCACTACCACTTCGTACGTACCGAATCGTTTTTTTTTGCTTAATCTATTGCTCTACATCACGTGAACATTTTGTTTTGATCTACTACGTTTTGGATTCTAAAACTTGACACTTAATTAAAAATTATATCCTCTATCATAGGTCAGTAATTTTTAACGTAAAAGACGTAACATATAATTAAGTTGAAAAGTATTAAATTTTGTAGTAAAAGCTCATTACATTGACACTGTAACCGATTTTTAAATAAACAATAAACATCTTTATCTCAATATCCAAGTCCCGCGTATATATAAAAACAAACTATTAAATATTAAACAGTCGTTCGGTGGTCAAATGATATATCGTGTTATGATTATTGACTTACTGAAATGCATGGGACTAGAGAAAACGACCTTGCCTTACATACTTTGCTAGTGATACTGTGTTGTTGCATTTTTAATAAACGTTTTCACGACTCAAATATTGTTTAATAATGAATCAAAACCGAATTCTGCCCAACAAATCAAAACTTCAGATTATAAATAACTTGATACATTCTCTATTTACAAATAACTTTGTGCAGTAAACATAAAATGATTTTGTCAAGTAAGCTCTTCATCTAATACATAAATAATTCATGTATTTCCAGGAATTCACTTTTGAGACAGTATTCAGGATACTACTAACCAGCCGGCAGAGTAACAACAATGTGATATGCTTTCTATGAATTCTAGTTGAAAGGTTTTATTAGTTTCTTTTACAGAGTGAACATTTGCATTTTTCATGAAACCATACTTCGATTTATCCTGTTAACGTAGTGTAATAAAACTATCCATCCAATGGTTGTGGAACTAAATAACATACTAAGTACTGAAAAATATATATTATGTAACATATATACTGTGCGTCGATATGCTAGATTTAAGTGCAGATTCAGAAGCATTTTATGTAATCTCTGATGAAATTAAATAAATAGTTACTTTAACCTTCATTTAGATCAAGCTTTACTCGTTAGTAAAAGAAACTTCATTAAAACACTAAACATTATAAAAATATAATAATTTCAAAGTTGGATTTATGAGTCAATTGAAGCTAGACCACCATGGAAAACCTGCAAGCACTGGACGGCCGTTTCGTCCAATTGCGAGACTCTTCAGCAGTGCGTATCCACGATTCTGCCTCGCAAGATTCTAACTCAAGACCTATGAGTCTCGCTCACGAACGCTTAAATTCTAGACTACTGAGCTATCCGACATCCAACGGTGTTAATGTCTAAGTTCAACTAAACCACGAAATTGAGCGTTAAATCTACCATTGTCCTCAGTGAGTTACGGTCACAACAGACTCAGTTAAAATACACTGGTCACTGCTTCTTACTAGAACTCCAGGAAATACCTCTTAGAGACCGTCACTAGTGATCATATGATGGTTATAATCGGAGAAGGGTTTTATGGATATCATAGTAATATAATAGTTGAATTCATGAGTCAGTGCTTTCAGGTTTTCCATGGTAGTCTAGCTTCAATTGATTCCTATAATATCCACAAAACCCCTCCTTGTTTAAAAATAATAATAAATCAATGTATTAACTTTCAATAAACTTAAACCTTAGTCAATTAGAAACTAAAATAATTCATGATATATATTCTAGTAATAATTATAACTCACTAAAATGCATAAGACTAAAGAAAGTCATCACGCCTAATATACTTAGTTACTTAGTGATACTTTGTTATTGTAATGATTTGTTAAAACTTACTTGTATTTGACACTTGAACATGTTCAGTTAAACCAATAATGAATGGTAATTCATTCAAAATTAATAACAAAATCATATTTAATATTATATAATATTCATATGATAATGACTTCATTAAAAAAAACTAAATTCAAACAAACAATTTAGTTCGTTTTTAATCCACTGAAAAAAAACTTTTTTAAATAAAATCCAATTGAAATTTATGTTTTTTTGTATATTCTATTAACCATCTATATGATTATTGTATTGAACTCAAAAATACTTTTCTAATATATCATCAGTTCAGTTAGTATATTCACATTCCAATATATTTGAGTAGTAATTAGTATGTTTCTTTTTTTAAAAAAAACTTGTCAATTTAATATTTTTGTTTCTCTTCACTTGAAACTGATTTATAATATTTTTCACCTCATTTATTTTATTAATATGATTAGTAGTATAGTGAGAATGGTATTGGTCACCATGTATTTGATTTTATTTCACATGCACACATAAAATAGTAGTACATACATTCAAAATAATATGTGAAGATGGATAACTTTTTGAAAAGAAACATAATGAAATCTAACTAATAACAACGGTTTAGTTAACTATAATTTTGCACACTAAAATACAAACAGACTAACTTTTATTTAACCAGTAATTTCATAGCACATTGAACATATTACACACCAACACACACGCATATGCACACACACATCTATGTAGATATGTGAATACACTAGCTTTTTAACCCTAACAACCTTTCAACAAATTACCTAAGGCCGAATCATAAATTTACAGTATTAAACTTAGTACCAAAACAAAAAACTATATAAAAAATATTTTATGAATACTAATGGTTCCACCATCCTATTTTGTATAAAAAAATTAGTGATAAAAAGTTTTATTGTGATTTGTGTATCTTTTTTCGCTTTATGAAATAGGAAATTCACTAAATGAAAGGTAATAAAAATTTAAAATGAAAAGTAAAACAGTTAACTCAAAATTGATTGTCTAAAGATAAAATCAACATAAAAGTATTTGATTGAAATCCTCTTATTATATACATATAAATCTATTGATGAATTTACTACTGAAGTAGTTCAGTTAGTAATTTCCTATAAAACTTATAATAATAATGTTTGTTTGTTTCTTAGAGTAAATTTACTTGAAGGTGCTTTTACTTGTTTAAATCATTTATGTTGACTACTTTAGAAAAAAAGTCTTGAGAAGAAATAATGTAATTTTGTTTTAACACTTAACAAACTCATAAAGACAGATAAAATATTTTCGAGTTGATAAATCATAAATGTGTAATTTGAAATTGTTTCTTCTTTTTCTTTTACATTAAAGTAACATTTATTGTCTTGAAATGAAATAGAATCATTTCCTTTTAAGGTATTTTGTCTAATGTTTGAATGAATTATTATTTAATTGTCTTATAGTAATCACGATTTTTTTGAGATTGTAAATGTTTGAAAAAATTGTGTTTTGTAAAGTGTAAATAACTAATCCAGAAAATATAAGGGAATGAAATAAATCATTTTTGGTTAGTCGATTACTGAGTAGTGTGATTGACTTACTATATCTAGGTATTTGATAAGAAAGTCTCTATCAGTGTTTTAAATGTTAACAGTGAATCTTATTGAAATACTTGTTTTAACATATATATGTTTATTTGCTTATATTGGAAACAAATCATTTAGTTATAACTGGAAATTAGATAGGACAGTATAACTGAATGCGTTTATTTACATTTATATATCTAACCAAATCTATTCTGGAATGAGTTTACTTCATGTTTTTTTTGGAACATTATACAGGCAAATCAAAGAGTTCAGATGTAATTACTTTATAGACTAGCTTAAAAGTTCTTATACATCAATTGTTATGGGCAGTTTCTGATATCTATAGAAGAATCAGTCATGTTAAAGTTTAAACCACAACTAAATGTATGTTTACTGACACAAAATAACATCTGACATAAAAATGATATCAGATACAATTCTAATTTGAACTACGATTTAACGTTTGGTGGAATATTTTGGAAAGAGCAGAAATTTTCTGCGAACTTTCACCTAAACATTTATTTAAAGTTTGATTACTAAAGTTCTGTTACGTTTATCATGATTATTGATTCAAAACAAATTATTTTATAAACAAATAGTAACAAATTCACTTGATATTTTTTAATTAAATCTGCCCATTGATGTTCAGGACTGTAATTAATCAGTCTCTTATTGGTACATGTTCATACTGTCAGTATTGCGTTAATTCACAAGCACTATAAGCAAAGATAGATAATGGCTAGCGGTGAAATCGAACTTTGAATATTATTAAATCAATCCTTGTTTAGACAACATATTAAAACTTTATATAGTTTCAGTTAGAAAGATGAAACTTTACAATGATTGATCCTTATTTATATATTAGTTAATTGGTGTGTTTCAACAGATGATTTGTCGAGATCGTATACAAGTAAAAGGCTTATAAAAAATTTAAGAAGATTGAATTTTAAGTTATCAATAAATTGAAACTCATTTTCATATGCAGTCAACCAGCTGATGTATAATGTTGTGTTCCATAGAAACTAACTTAAAGATAGAAATTTCTGGAATAAGAAAGAACAAGTAACTAGTGAAATTAATAATTAGATATTTATTTGTAGTTTATATTGTCATTCAACAAATGTGAAAATGAATTCGTTTGAAAACATAATGCAAACTTTCAAAACTTTCAACTTCAAGGTAAAATAATCAAACGAAAGAAATAGAATCCGTTGATCACAAACTAGCGCTTCTCGACTGTTTGGTTGAACAAAGACATAATAACAATAACTTGCAAATAAATGTATTCAAAACCAAAATAGTTCACAAAGGTTTTAGCACTCATAAAGAAAGATTGACAGCGGAAGCGCTGTATATATGAGTGAACACGAACAGCCCGAACCGAAAGGAAGCTATTAAACTAGCGACTACTTGGCAGATATTCGTTTCTTTATTCAACTTGTATATTTCACGTGCATCGTTATTTTGACTGAAATTAATGTGATTTTAGCAATATAATTATGTATTTGATGATTCTCATTTTACATGAACTTCAATGATTCAGAAACAATCTTTTATTCATCGACTTGCACTTTTACTTTTCCTTCATATAAAAACATATTACCATCGAAAATCATTCATTAACAACTCAATCTTACACATACATATACACATACAATTCGTTCGGTCATTTGTTTTTACATTGTGAACTTCTCACATGGTTCGCATTTAACCGATTAATCTTATTCTTGCCAGAAGGGTTATTGTGGATATTATAGTAACTTTAAAGGTTGAGATCGTGAGTCAATTAAAACTAGACCACCATGGAAGACCTGAAAGCACTGGACGGCCGTTTCGTCCCATTGTGGTACTCCTCGCGGTGCGAATCCACGATCTACCCGCTAGATTTGAACCCAAGACCTATCAGTCTCAATTGACTCATGATCTCAACCATTGAAATTTTCATATTATTCTATTTAATAATGCCAACATCAAAATTTGATTGGATAACACAGCATAGATTTGATCTGATTTGATTGTTAAAACGCTATATACTTTCTTGATGATTTTGATTATTACCCTGAAGAAGTTCAGACAAATTAGTTGGACAAAACGTTGGAACTATTCAAATTTTAATCACCGAGATTATTTCAAATATAATTTTCACATATAATTTCTCTATACTAGGTGCCCAATTATTGTAAAACTATTCATTATAACCTTGACGAATATTCGAATAAGCTTTTGGATATTTTAACTTTTATAAAAATTCCGATGAAATACTTGAACATATCAACATTAATAGAAATCATAGTAACACTGAACACCCAAAAATAGAGAGACTGTATTAAGTTATCTTATGTTAAGTGAAGAATTGACTTCGCCAAACAAAAGAATTAATATAAATTCACTTGATGATAAGTTGACTAAAATGAAACTTGTAGTTTAATTTAAACACTTAAAGAAAACTATTATAATTATATAGTAAGAATCATGAAACTTACATATTTCTGGTGCCTAAAATAAACTGATGTATGTAGAGTTTTTAAACTTCTGGTCATATAAATCAATATTTATCGATTAAAATCAAAGATCATATTGATCATAGAATGAACAGTATTTAATCAACATTATTATTTGATTTGTTTATCGATTTCTGATAACATAAAATAACATTTTATGTGTAGATTCAATAAGATGAACACTGAAATGAACTTGGAATATTTCAGCTTAAAAAAATCGAGAATGAAATTGTACATTGATGAAGCATCTATCATTGAAATTCGATATCGTTGCCTTTCGTTATTTTACTTTAATTCATATTTAAAAACCAAATTTTGTTTTTACCCAGTGTTATAATCTATATCGTACTCGGAATCCGTAATGACTTTAAATATTCAAATGAGTTGATTCGAATATCCATTCTTATTTAAGATAGGATGTCTTTTTGAATGTTCAATAAGTTATTAATGAATGAAGATGTCTAACTTAAAGTACCATGTAAATTATAAAGAATCGGTTTTTTTCCCCGATAAATAAACTTTATTCCATCATGTTTTTATGTTCTATTATGTATTTTATACAATAATTTCCCTTGCATCACAAGTAACTCAGTCAAATACCACGATTTTAGGATTAAGGTTGATGAAGAAGAGTCTCATTACTTTATATTTTGACTTGTATTTATATCCACAACTGATCAACTCTACTAGATAGATTACAGTGTTTTGAGGGAATCAACATAATTCATATTCACATGTATAGAAAATGTTATATTTCTAGGTGCATTAGTAAAACGCTAAACAACAACTTGGTCATAAGAAAACACGACAAGATGATCAACCAGGAAATAAGAAAAAATAGAAGCAACAAAACTAAAAAGATAGTCAATTACTAAAATAACCAGGAAACAGAATGATCAAATGCTTGTGGGATAACTAAATAGCTTACTTTTACATGAAGTAAGCGTTGGTGTTGTTTAAAAAGACAATGAAACTCTACAATTAAACCATTCAGGTCAGAGAACTCAACAACACCAAAACCAACCACCTAAGTTTCAACTGATCACCATCATTTCAAATTGTTAAACTTTGTCACTAATATTTCTCATAATTAAATGTGGATAGTTATCTACTGAAGTTTGTTCTGATACTGTCGTTCAGAAGAACGATGGAAGCTTCACGATCAAACCATCCAGCTCAGAGAACAAAACTCCTTCAAAATAGTTATCTACTCCTTTTAAAAAAAATTTGGTGACACATAAAGCTTAATAGAATGCAAATGTTTTTTAGTTTCCACTTTCATATTTCAGTGAGGTATGTGATTTACGGTTGTATTAATTTCACGATTATACCACTTCCTGTTCATCATTGTTTAATAAAGTGAGAATTAGAAAGGTAATAATCAATACACCAACTACTTCGCTTGATAAGTTACATTCACAAAAATTGTACATAATCAACTTATATTCCCCATAGATATTAAATGACATAAATTAATCTTATTTGATTAGATATATAATAATAAATTGCTTATCATTTAATTAATGTAAATTTAAACAGCTAATATAAAAATACCATTTAGATACTGTTTAATCATCAACAAA